AACTCTCAGGAGCAAAACACTTCAATCCTGGGAGAACTCAACTCTTCAACCAGGAAACACCTGGAGGTTACTCCACACTGATCATGTCAAACATGGCATGACACATGTTCTTGGCACCTCTTACAGCAATTGATCCTTTGTCCCATTTTTTTCCCTTCCCTAGGGAAACAGGTCTTTCAACAGACACCACATCAGATCATGACAGGACTGGAAGATGTGATCATTTGCTCCATGTGTGGCCTGAGCTGTGTGAAATAAACCAGCAGATAGAAAGCAGGGCCTGCAGACACAGAGAGGAAACCAACCTGACTCTGGCATAGGTTTCCTCATCGTCTGCTGCGATCCACACAATGTCAGCCAAGGTGGGGACTGGAGGGACATCACCTAAATAGAGATCTGAAACACTTGGCAGAACCTAGAAAGAAGGAAGTGCTGTTAAGATGGTGGCTCTGTCTCCTGAAGCCCTCCCAGATGTGCTGCACTGGCTGTCAGGCTGTCTCCTCTGCAGCTGTGTGTGTCTGTGGGTTAGGGAACTGCTGTGCTTCTGTGTGTCGACTCCAGCACGTGTTCCTGGTGTGCTGGTGTGTGTCAGCCCTGAGAGCAGCCAGGCAGGACAGGACACCTGATCCAGCCCTGCATGCTGCCAAGGTCACGTGCAACACTTTGCCACTACAAGTCCCAGAGCTGCCCTTGAGCTCAGTGACGTAAGTGTCTCCATAAACCCTGTCTGACTGTTTAGGAAACAGGCCCAGAGGGCTTGAGGCTTGTTGGAGGTCACACAACAAAGCACTGGGTCAGCAACTCCATGTTTTCATCTCCTCTAGCTTGTTAACCTGCTCCACAGACACTACCTGAGGAGGTGTTTTGTCATGTTGCCAACCAAGAACAGAATTAAAGATAAAAGAAATCAAACCAACTTAAAATGAACTGTACTGCTGCAAGTTTTGGGGGTACAACTCTGCAGACACAGGTGGTGACACAACAGCATCCTTGTCCTGCCCCAGAGCAGCAGGTCCCCACAGCCACCACCAACCCCCCACGCTGCTCACCTCAAAGGTTGCTCTGGGACAGGGTTTCAGGGGGAGGTTGGACCCAATCATCCTGACCACGCTGCGTGCTGAGCCATGGGGCTTGTTCTGCCAGATGGGGATTGTCTACAAGAATCCACAGGACAGAGTTAGGATTTCAAATCACTGACCTCCTTGAAATCTATTAGATTGGAAATTGTCCAAAACTATCAGCTCAAGAGTCTGATCTCTGACTTTTTCTCTCTAGTCATACTTGTGCTTGGGAACCTGCTAATAACTAAGGTCTTCACTCCATAAAATTGTGCTTCAGATGAACACCTGTGAAAGGTAGAGGCATTTTGAACACAGTTGTAGTATTTTTAGGACTGAAAACTAAAAGCACTTAGGAACAGGCACTGAGTGACCAATGAAAACATGTCAGGAGGAGGAAAACAGTATCACAACAAGGGCCCAGGAGGAAAATGAGATCAGAAAAAAGTGCCATTTAAAGGGACACTCTTAATTCCATCAACAAAAGCAGCACTGAAAAGTCCAGAGTGTTTTGGAGTCTCTTTCACCTGGACATGATCCTGAGGATGTGTTCTAGAGGAACCTGTCTGCGCAGGAGGGTTGGTCCAGGTGACTTCCAGTGGTCCCTTCTAACCTGACCCATTCTGGGACTCTGGGATAAGGTTTTTCATTTCACACATTTCTTGTGTGACAGCAAGTGACAAGTCTATTCCATGCCTGCCTCAGCCAAAGGCCACAGAAAACAGCCTTGGAAGGATTTTTCAGAAACAACAAATGTTTCAGTCATCTCTGGGCACTTATGAATTGACCCAAAAGGTGAAGTTCTCTGTCCTTTGACTCTCTTGCCTGTTTGACACTGTCACAGGCTCCTGTGACAGGAGGCACCACAAGGCTCTGGAAAGCAAATATTATGACAACAAACTGCAACTCAGATGGGTTTCATTGCTCACCCCACAACACCCCCATTAATTTATTCACTGCTGGAGCTCATTCCACACTCTGTGCCCAAACGCTGCTCCACGCAGTGAGACCTGAAATCCCCAAGGTGTATTTTAAACTGAACCTCCGAGCTGGGGATGCACTGAGTGCAGTGACAGCCCCAGGAGGGCTGGGACAGGGGCCTGGGGCAGGGGCAGGTACTGGGGGCAAGAATCGGGGCAGGCACTGGGTGTGGGGACCGAGCAGGTAGTGGGGGCAGGTGCCAGGGGCAGGTACTGGGACAGGGGTCGGGGGCAGGTCCTGGGGGCAGATACCAGGACAGGTACCAGGACAGGGGTTGGGGGCAGGTACTGGGGGTTGCTACTGGGACAGGGGTCAGGGCAGGTCCCAGAGCAGGTACTAGGGGCACAGGTACTGGGACAGGGGTCGGGGCAGGTACTGGGGCACTTACCAGGGGCAGATACCAGAGCAGGTACTGGGAAAGGGGTTGGGGCA